ATGTTGTTATTGTTCGGGACGAACAATATTAAGGAGAGGCAGTGTTGCGTCATCGAGATCACGTGATTCTCACGCCCTCTACTTTCTAGAATTATCCTGTACTTTGGCGAATGCTCTAGTATTTACTAGATATAGGGTAGTCTGGTATACAAAACGGGTGACAACGTGACGGGAGAGTAATGTGTGTGTAGACAGTGAGTAATTGATCTGCAGTGAGAAGTATTGTTGACGTTCATTGTTATAGCGTTTGTTTAGCGCGATTGTTGAAGTTGAGTGTATCGTAAAGTTGTATTCGGAAAGAATAAACCAGTTTTATTAAGTAAGGACTTGTGTCGCTAAAGTTTCGTCGGAACGAAGTTACGGAAAGGTAATTAACAAACGGAGACGTAACAGTACCATTTAGTGAATACTCTCTCATTGTGTATTCCACTTAAATACTCAGGAAGGTTACAGTGTGGGTTAACTCTAATGAAACAAATCGTAATAAGGTAAACATGTAATAGTTGCCATTTGTTACACACTAAAAAAGAAACAGAAATTACCCTCGACACTTAGGCAACCACCCTTTTGACCTTTATAACAGCTATTATGTACAAATTTCCCCTAGTGGAAAGTTTAATTAACTTGCATTTAACACAGTCTAGAATGATAAAAGCAACCAACAATCTGAAAAGAAAATGTGATCCCAACATTCAAGTTAATAAAAATAATAAATTGAAACTAAATCATTCAGATACAAAATTAATTTAAGTGTCATTCTTCACATGCACTGATGATCAGGCAGCACATGACATGAACCAGAACACTCAGCACAATCTCGGGTCAATAATATTTCATAATATTTCAAACTTAATAATCCAGTTACAGTGTTTTCGAGAAGGATCTGTGTTTGCTATCTTGCTTATTGAATTACTTTATACTGTTGCGTCAGCGAGGTCACGTGACTTGTTCTCTCGAACCTTCGGGAATTGTCGGGAGATTACTAGATATAGGGTAGTCTGGTATATATAAGAGGGTGACAACGTGACGGGACAATAGTGTGTGTAGACAGTGAGTAATTGATTTGCAGTCAGAGAGTATTATTGAAGTTGAGCACGTTTGTTTTAGCGCGATTGTTGAAATTAAGTGTATCGTAAAGTTATATTCGGAAAGAATAAACCAGTTTTATTAAGTAAGGACTTGTGTCACTAAAGTTTCGTCGGAACGAATTTACGGGAAATCAATTAACAAACGGAGACGTAACAATACAAATAAGTTGATTTGTTTCACGTTAGCTATCATAATTTATAATATAGGCCTACAAAAATTTTCAGCATTGTACAAGTGTTCAAGTTTATGGGAAGATTTAAAGAGGAAATAAACTCATTTGTTATAGTTTATGTGGGCTAAGTTGAATAATTTTCACCAGATAATTTAAACGAATCTGACAACGAAATAATATCATCACACCACATTGACTTATCCTCTGCTAACTGAAACAAAAACACTCAATGACTGGCAAGAATTAACTCTACTTTTCCCTTAAGCTTCACTGACTTTTGTATTTATAATCGACTCCTCAAATTTACTATAAAATCTGACGCCAAAATTTTTATAACTTTCTAGGTCTAAGTTATTAAGTTTTCGATCTTACCTTAACGTGCTCTGTTGCAAACATCTAAATTACAACAATATTTGACTCTGTGGCCTAAGAGAAATAAAATCAAGAACAAAAATCTAAATGTTTTAATTATAAAATAATATTTCGGAAAATTTATTACCATTGTTAATATCTTGTACATGAAATTTATGAAATACAATTCACAAATGTTAATAAGAACTTGGATTTTGATCTTGTGTTAATTTGAAAATATTCGCCCTAATGATGTTGTTACGACAGCAGAAGTCACGTGACTCTGGGAGCATGCACGGTGGAGTTTCTAGAATTATCGGGGAACCCCGTGAATGTCCGAGTGTTTGCCAGACGCCCTCTTTTTTAGTATATAAGCTCGGCAAATAAAGCCAGCAAGATATGGATATGCAGATAGATCGAAGAGATAGATAATTGAGTCAAGCAAACAGTAGGCACCGAAAGTAAAGTGTGTGAATTGCTATGATTTATAGCGTGTGTTATAAAGGTTGCTAGGTTTAAAGTGACTGTGGAAATTCTGCGTATTATTAAAAGTTGTATCTAGAAAGAATAAACTAATTTTAATCAAGAAAGGACTTGTATCGCTGAAGTTTCTCGGAAAACATTTCTACGAGAAATTAACAAACAAGCAGATATGTAACAATGTCATACCATGATAACAGATGTGCTCTTCGTGAAACGGTAGTTATTGAAAATAACAAATAATGGATTTAAGTAATTTCAACATTATTGTTTACTACTTATACACTATGATAATGTGCTTTTAATAGCAGGTGTAGTGTAGTGTCTGTGTGCTACATTGTTGAAATATGTATCATAGGCAGGATTGTGTTTTGTTTGGGTATGCTATTCTGTCACATGTGTGTGGAGGGGAGTTCACAATTAGTTCGTGCAGCCCCTGATATATATTCAATTATTAGCGTTCAGACTTTTGATTTTCACTAGCTGCGCTTCTAACAAGCTTGAAAATAAATGCTAATGAAAATACTAAAAATTAGTTATAGACAAATGAAACTTGAACTAGCATAGTCTGAAACTTGTAAGCTTATGTGTATCTTCCATTCCAGGGATGGCTGCTATATAACAATACAGTGGTTATGGTATGAGCGCCTTTACTAAACTATCGACTGAATAAGGAATATAGTGCTAAAATAAACTAATGTTTTATGACGAGTAATATATCACAATTAACAATGGCCTGATGGGTAGAGTGCTCGACTTGCAATCTGCAGGTCGGTGGTTCGAATCTCCACTGAACATACTTGCCCTTTCAGCCCTGTGGCGGTTATAATAATAACGAGTAAAATGAAGCAAAGATCGAGAAATAGCTGTCAGTGGAGGTAAGTATGTTTGGAAATACATTTTCCGATTAGGAAAATGATAACTTACTATTTTTGATGACAACCAGAGTCATAAATGATAAGCTTTTTGTTTGTAATTAAGCACAAGGCTACACAATAGGCTATCTGTGCTCTGCCCACCACGGGTATCGAAACATGGATTCTAGTGTTGTAAGTCTGCAGACATACCGCTGTGCCACTGGGTGCCTCGTGAACTCTCTGATGATCATCGTTTCCAACATGTGAATATTGCTTTGTCTCTTCTGGTGCATAATGTGCGTGAACTATTTTTGGACAGAATTATCAAGGGTGATGAGAAATAGATTCTCTATGCGAATATTAAATACCAAAAACAATGGCTCAGTCCTAAACAAAAACCACTTTCGACACCAAAAGTGATTTTTGCATTTGGTGGGACATCAAAGGAGTAATTCATTTCGAACTCCTCAATCCACAACGAACTGTCAATGCAGAAATCTATAGTCAGCAACTGGAATGTTTATATCAAGTACTTCATCAGAAACGCCCTTCACTCGTCAGTCGGAAAGGTGTTCTTCTCCACGACAATGCACGTCCACATGTGGCACGTTTGATGCAACACATAATTATGGAGTTGGGTTGGGAAATTCTCTCCACCTCTCCACTCACCCACCATATTCTCCAGATATGGCACCATCAGATTGCCATCTTTTCCGTTGCTGCAACACCATCTTAAGGGGAAAACAAATGCAAATGTGGAAGGTGTTAAAGAGGAGATCGACATGCTTTTGCCTCAAAGCCACATGATTTCTTTAATCAGGACACTAAGAACCCGTATGTAAGATGGAAAAGCATCATCAATAAGAATGGAGACTATTTCATTTAATAAACGTTTTGTTTTGATATATAAGTTGTTCAGGTTCTTCATCTGAAAAAAGTGACATTAATTTCTTGGCGACCTAATATTTTCATCAGTCCAAATAAGACTTGGCACTAAGACCCCTTACAACAACAATCACACACTGAAGCAGGTGAATTTGGGATTTGTACCTTTCTTTTGATTTTACAGAGTTCAAAGGAAAAATAAATTACAAAACAAGAGTTTCAGCCTGATATCTTTTTTTTATTTCTATTTGACCAATTCAGCTGAGCCTGCACAAGGATAATGTATGACAGGTCTCTCAAACTGAAGCTGACAGGTATGAGATTTGTGCCTTTCTTGTGATTTTCCAGGGGTCAAAAGAAAAAAGATTTTGCAAAGTTAGCATTTTAGGCTAGCCATTCCTTTATATTTTGCACAAAAATACCTTGCAACAACTACCCCACAGACTAAAGAGGAAATATTTGAGATATTGCCTTTATTTTGATTTTACAAGGATCAAAGGACAGAAAATGTATGTAATATGGATCTCTGAACACAGTGACAATAGTCTACATTTGTAAACCTTATAAGGGGTTGTTATTAATAGTGTTTGATTGCAGTGTATAAAATTGCATATACAGTGTTAAAAAATAGATCTTATATTCTCAAACATTACTTATAAAGCTTTTGTCATTATCAATATGCATTTATGTATGCAGAAACTGACTGTTCTATCTTTTATAAGGACACAATTTAGTATGGTTCAATACACCTTTCTCAGAAATAAGTCTCAAGTTGATATTGTTTTAAATGTCTATCCCTCTGAAGTATGTGTTGTAGTTTATGGCTCTTTTTTCCTCTCTTGAAATTCACTTTATTTTGAGGATGTTATTAATTAAAGTGGGTGTTGGTATTTTGTTTCTCCTGCTTTTGCACAATACATTGGATTGCTCAATTTCTATTCAGCACAAATATTTAATGGTTTACAGGAAAATCTACAAAGTACCAAACTTCCAGAAATTCTTAGCATTTCACATTAAGTGTGGTAATAAATTAACAAATTCTACATGCTTTGTTTGAACATAAAATAATGTTTGATCAATGTACTTATAAAGTTGGTGAATTTGATACAATATTGTGAGATAGCAAATTCTAATTTTATTTTGTTATGGTTTTATATATCATTCATTCACTATTCCTTCTAATGTTTAGTTCAACTAGGAATTTTTAGTTATATTAAAGTGCTAACTCACTTTCTAACTAGAGCACATTGAATTAGTGTATATTTGTATTATGAAACTGGCACAAGTTTCCCCTAGCGGTGATGTAGATATATTAATGTTGTAAAATATTATGTAAATTAGTTAGTCACATGAGATGTAACCTCATGGTCTAACCACCAAATAAAAACCCTTCCTTGAGCTTAAATAAGTTAGTTCACAAGATATAGTTAAAACAAATTATTACTGATTGTTATTAATTTTGGAATTATGTTTTTTCTTGTGGTTTGTTTTTCCTAATTCCTTTATTTATTGAAATGAGTAACATTGATATATATGTTGTATTGTTCATTAACATTAATATCAAGTTCTGGCTAGGCATGTAATTAGTAACTGTTTTTTTTTTGTAAGTGATAAACTTTATATTCTAACTATTTTAAAGTTTTAAATTTATGGTTGTTAAAGTTGAGTAAATTCTTTTTTGTTTGACCCTGGTTATAGCAACATTTTGTTTTAGTCTATTAAAATATAATTTGTTGAGTAAATGCTAAAATGAGTCTTGACTATGGTTATGATGGTCATTTGTTTTGTTTTTTAATTCAGTAATAATTTGTTTTATTTTAATAAACCTTACATTTTGAAATGGAGGGTTATAAACAAATATTAGTTTTCAGTTTATTGTAACTTTCTGTTTTATATTACTCTACATTTTAACAATTTGTCCATTTTATTATAATCTAAATAGAGTGACAATAATGTTTTTTTTTAATTTTTTATCTCAGTGAATAAGCATTTACCAGAATTTCCCACTACTAGTGAAGTTATTACTATCAGTGATGCCTGGCAGGCAGGTCCTGTTTTTACTGCACGTGCATATGACTGGGATCTAGGTACAACTTGTCCACCTAATAGTGCAGGTTGTGACTGTGGCCAGGTGAGCTATTACATCATCAGTGAAACTACAAATGGACCCTTCATTATCAATAACGCCACTGGAGAAGTGTACATTCGAGACCCAGTTGGACTTGCTGTAGGAACATTTTATAAAGTTGTCATTCAGGCAAGAGGCCCTTACAATGAGACATCTGATCACAGTGGAACAACAGAAGTAAGTATAGTGTGTGTTTATAGGTTATTGTCATTATGAAATATTATGGAAGGTCTACACTTGTAGTAAGTTTGAGTGAAAAATTGTTTTCACGAACTTATCAATTCATCTTATTATAAACAAATTTTGTTATCATATATTGAATAGTAATTACAACATGTTTGATGTCAAATTGGAAATCCAGAAAAAAACAACTGTAATCAGACCCAGTGTTTTCACTTACACCTTTTTTTCAGAAAGGTGTAACCAAAACATAAAGTTTGATTAAAATCCTTTTTGTGTGTGTGTGTGTGTGTGAAGTGTGAATAATAGTCTTTTTTTTAAAAAAAAAGCTATAGATTACTGTTTAATTACAATTAGGTAAAAAGAGCTATTAGCTTTTATAATATATTTTGATAATAATTCTTCTTGAATCTCATGAAGTTTGTATCACAGCTTCAGAATAGGTTATATACTGAATTATGAATATTATAAGTTCATCACCATAATATGTTTATATTGTTATTTTTTGTTAATGAGGATTTCAATTTTAATTTTGGAAAACAACTTTGAACTGTTGTTAATCTTTCAATAAGCCCTGCATATAATTCAAAATTATTGATGGATTTAGTTTCTTTTCTCTAGGTGTTGTTCTATTTGAATGAAAATTTTCCTGCTGATCAGGAAATTCAACCAATCATGATTCCAACTAAACAAAGTGAAGGAGACGTTGAAAATGTTGACACTAACTTTATAGGAGCCTGGGATAAAAGTGATGACTTATCCCCTCACATTAGAGAGAAACGACAAGCAGATGAGGTATGAAAATTGTCCCATGAATATTTATGCTTTATAAAAAATTAACTTAAGATAAACTGTAGAATCCAATGCCATTATTCTGTACACATGTTAATCATAATTGCCTGTCCAGAAGTTTAACAACTTGGTTTGTGTAAGAGATATTATACTGTTACGTCTCCGTTTGTTAATTAAC